CAGAAACGTGGGTGAAGGGAGGCAGCAGTCGGTGTAAGACATAAAAACAATAATAATTTATAAGTTATCACGGGGTCACAAGGGTGGGAAAAAAAGAGGAGCTGATACCAAGGGCGCAAATAGAAAGTAAATGTTTAGAAAACGATGATGACGACCTATGTACAAACAGGCTTGAAACATTGACGTATGGATTGTTATAAGAGCCCCCAACAAAATGATCTTAAAAAACAAAAAACCTCCGGACTGCTTACCCATCAGATGTAAACATTGGTGGAAGTGGAACAGGTGGAAAAGGCAAACAGAAGTGGACTTGGATTTTGGGGGGACAGACAAGTTCACGGCAAAGAAAGAACGAGAAAAGAAAGGCCCCTGCACCGCAGCCTGGGGTGGGGGTGAGGGGTGTTTAGTGACGGGTCTCCACTACATCCACTTGTAACTGGGGGACTGACTCCACCCCCTTTATGCAAACACCGGCCGCAGGCCCGTGCTACAAATGTAAACTATGGTTTGGCTTCCCGTCATTTCGTTGTGCGGTGACTTGCTACTTATGTCTGGGTTCGTGGTTTTCTTTTTCCTGTTTCCTCCGCTGACAATGGAATGGCTCCGGCTGTCTTCCGCCCCACCGCCCCCTTCCCAACCCCGCCCACCCCGACCCGGGCCAGTCAGCTCCCCCTGAAGCAGCCACAGCCTGCTGATTCAAATCCAGAAAAACTCTCACTGCTTTGAGCCCCTCTGACTCCTGGAGGCACCTGAGGACAGGGTAGAACTGCCCCTGGGGGTTTCTGAAGAGGTAACCCATTATACAGGAGTAGACAGCTTCATCCTCCCAGGGAGCTACCTGTGGTTTTGAACTGCTGACCTTGTGGTTAGCAGCCCAACACATAACCCGCTACACCACCAGGGCTCCTGCTCATTCAACGTATGTCCCCTCCAACCCCTCCTCAGATCAGAGCCCTCCTGGGCTCCCCACCTTCCTGGTAGTCAAGGTCAAAGTCTCCGCCACTGCCCACAAAGCCCTGTGGGATGCGTCACCCCTTCCCCTCCCCTCCTCTGTCACATCATGCACACTTTCTACCCCAGTCCCATCGGCCTTCCCCTATTGCTCTGACTCACTCCTGCCCCAGGGCCTTTGCACCTGCTGTTTGCTCCCTCTGCCCGCAACTCCCATCCCACGATCCATCCCATGATGTCGGCATCACTCGTCCTTTCACCAGCTCAGGCCTCCACTTTAAACTGTCATCTACACACACACACACACACACACACCATCCCTCCATCTTCCACTCCTCTCCTTCAGTTTCCCTTCATAGTAGGTCTCGCTGTCTGACGTCTTTCTAAGGATCACTGATTCCCATTGTCTCTCTCTCTCCACACTAGAGTGTCCCCTCCAGGAGGCCAGGGGTCTTTGTCCGTCTTGGTCCCAGCTGTGTCCCCGGTGCCTACAACAGTGTCCAGCGAATGGTCAGTACTGCATCAATATTTTGTTTGGTGAATTAGTGCGTTTTCTGGATGGGGGATGTCCAGTCCACAGGCTGGGTAAGGGCCCCAACATCATCAGTTCCAGCTAACATCACAGGTCTCACCAGAGATGCCCTTCTGCCCATCACATTAATTAAACCAAACTCTGCCATCCAGTCAATGCTGACTCATAGCAACCCTCTAGGATAGGGTAGAACTGCCTCTGTGAGTGTCCCGGAGGGTAGCCCCCCCCCTTTTTTTTTTTTACTTGATAAAATTGTATTTTTTTAAAAGTCGTTTGTACAATTTGTTACAAAACCATAGAAGACTACAACTTGTTTTTAATCATTTTGGGGGGGGTCAGCAAATATGTAAATATCTGTGTGCAATCATTATGTATTTACAGGGCCTCGTGTTAGTCATTTTCAATGATTATTGCAACACTCTGAACATAAGACATGGCTTAAGATAAATATATTCGTAAATAAATATTTTGAGAACATAAATGAAATGTGCTGCTATACATATACAGAATATACATAGGTTGTTTTCTAGCCTTTAAAACATTTTATTTTTAATGGAAATGATGGTAGCCCTTTACAGGAATAAAAAACTCTGTCTTTCTCTTGCGGAGTGCCTGGTGGTTTTGAACTGCTGACCTTGCAGTTAGCAGCCCAGTTAGTATCCACTACACTACCAGGGCTCTTGCTGCCACCACATTAGGGTAAGTGGGGTAATTAAATGTTTAGCCCAATATCGCAGGCTGACTTTTAAGTTGATAATATTGTATGACCCTTGAATGATGTTATAAATATCCAAATCACCCTTGGCAGAAAAAAATTTTCCCCACTGCTGAGAAGGACATGATGCTTGGTAAAGTAGAGGGACAGCAAAAAAAGAAGATTCTCGGTAAGATGGACAGACACAGTGGCTGCAATGGGCTCAAATATGACAGTTTGGAGGACGGCACAGGACCAAGCAGTGTTTGGTCAGTTGTGTACCAGGTCGCTATGAGTCAGAACCGACCTGACAGCATCTAACCCCAATACCACCTGTGATAGTCTGGGTAGACCAGAGAAACAAATTCAGGAAGACTCATGTATATGCAAGAGAGAACTTTATATCAAAGAGTAATTGTACATTAAGAAAACAACCCAGCCCAGTCCAGATCAAGTCCATAGTCCAATATTAGCCCATATGTCCAATACCAGTCTATAAATTCCTCTTCAGACTCATGCAATACATGAAATGATGCTGACTGCAGGAAGATCACAGGCCAGTAGGTGGGAAGTCTTATGGATCCAGTGGCAGTGGAAGCATCTTAGTGCTGGCAATGGCTCCTCCAGCTCCAGGGCTCTAGCATAGCTCCATGTGTCTGTCAACAAGAATGTCTTGCAGAGAGAGTGTGTGTCCCACCTCCAGGGAGGAAGATAGGCATTCCCAGAATCCTCAGGAGAAGACCATGGCCCACACAGAGGCCTCATTGGCTAGGACCTGATTGACAGGCTGGACTCCACCCCTTCGCAAGTTGACAGGAGGTTATTTAATTGCCACCCCACCCCTGATTTAGAGACTTCATTTAAGGACAAAGAAACAGCATTGAGGGTACTTTCTAAATCAAGAGCAGCCAAGTGAGTTGACTTCAAGAGAAAGTTTAACTCCTAGCAAGTGAAGATATTAAATCGGTTATCAAAAACCTTCCCGCCCTAAGATACAGCGATGGGTATCCTAGCTTCAGAGTAATTAAAAAACAACAACAACAAAGCCCATTGCCATCAAGTCGACTCATAGCGACCCCATCGGACAAGGCAGAACTGCCCCTGCGGGTTTCCCAGACGGTCAGTCTTTCGGAGAGTACAAAGTCCCAACGTTCTCCCTCCCTGTAGCAACGATTCAAAGAAAGCTGTCTCCAGGAATAAGAATCACAAGTGTTTCCCAAAGTGGGCGGTACCGCCACCTGGTGGGGATCCCTGGAACATCCCATCAGGACCAGTGGTGTGAGTGGCGAAACAGGGAGGGTAGGGGAGAGTGTGTAGGAAAGAGGGAACCGATTACAAGGAACTATATGTGACCTCCCCCCTGGGGGACGGCCAACAGACAAGTGGGTGAAGGGAGACGTCGGACAGGGCAGGATATGACAAAATAACAATTTATAAACTATCAAGGGCTCATGAGGGAGGAGGGAGTGGGGAGGGAGGGGAAAATTGAGGACCTAATGCTGGGGATTTAAGTGGAGAGGAAATATTTTGAGAATGATGAGGGCAATGAATGTACAAATGCGCTTTACACAATTGATGTGTCTATGGATTGGGATAACAGTTGTATGAGCCCCTAATAAAATGTTAAAAAAAAAAAAAAAGAGTTGTATGAGCCTCTAATAAAATGATTAAATAAAAAAAAACCCAGGGATGGAGTCAAACTGATTTATAGTGGTCTATAGGACAGGGTAGAACTGCCTCTGTGCGTTTCCAAGATTGCCCTACTTTGCAGGAGTAGAAAGTCCTGTCCTTCTCCCCTGGAGTGGCTGGTTTCAAGCTGCTGACCTTGTGATTAGCATCCTAACGCGTGGCCACTACACCACCCGGGGTCCTCCGGAGCAATCCTGGGGTGGAGTTTGGGGGGCTGCGAAAGCCTGGATTGGGGGCTATAGTATAAAAGCTTTGCATTGCTAGGGTAATTGTTGTTGCCGTTGTTTGCTTCTTACTCAATGTCCAGTTTTCTCGGGCATGGGAGAAAGGTGGGGATGGGAAGAGTTGGTTCCTGCAGGGCAGACCGATCGTGATCTCTTAGACCTGGGGGCCTTCTGGCTTCATTGGGTCTCTGTCCACCCACCTGTGATGGTTCCTGACCCCAGGTCCCTCCTTACACCCACAGGATGACCCCCACAGAGAAGCCAGAGCTGAGCCTGAATGGTAACGCTGGTAAGTGGGGACCCCCGAGACCACAGATCCCATCTCCCAGTGGGCTCTAGGATCACCTTCAGCAGAGACCTCTGCTTCTCCCCTCTCCCGGCTGGCTCCATCCCCGGCCCCTGTACACGCTCCTCTGTGACCCCCCAGGCTCATTCCCAGTGTACCCCCAGGCAGAGGTCCTTCTGAACCTCCTCTGCTCAAGTCTCCCATGTGGCTTTCCAGTGGCCTCAAGCCCAAATTCAGGCTCCATACCACACACTGGTGTGTTACCCACTGCCTCACCTGGCTTCCTGTCCCACTTGTAACATCCCTTGGGGAAACAACCACACTATGGATAACCAGACAGATCAAATATGGCAAACACGGCAGGCTCAGGCTCAGGCTCAGACTCAGGCTCAGGCTCAGGATCAGGCTCAGGCTCAGGCTCAGGCTCAGGCTCAGACTCAGGCTCAGCTTCAGGCTCAGGCTCGCCCTATCCCCACCACCCTGGCCTCTGCAGGCACTGTTTCTTCTCCTACCTTTCCATCATGCTTACTTTTTTACCCCATCCTCCAGGAAGCCCTCCCTGCCCTCCTCCGTCTAGGCCAGCAGTCCCTTCTGACCTCCCCTGCCACTTTGGGTCCTCGGTGTCGGGCTGCCTTCTCCCCCTGGACTGTGAGCCCCGGGAGGGCTGTCTCCGTCACCCATTGTCAGGGGAGCCAGCCCCTAACAATTCATCCCAGGCCCGGCAGGCGCAACGGTACAGCGATAATAAGTAAAGATTCCAGTAAAGTCATAGAGAATACGATAGGAGAGAGAGTGAAATAAAGGAGTCAGACACATTTCATGGTAGCATGCTCACCTCAGCCCCGCTGGGTGGTCCACGTGAGGATGCGGAAGGTGGGAATTTCAAGAGCAAGAGAGAGTGGGGAAGGAGGACAGGTAGAGAGAGAGACCAGGGGAGAGAGGACTGAGGGGGAGAGAGAGCGATTTATTACTAACCGAGGCTTATATATATATTGGGGGCATGCAAGCCCCCTGGTTACAGGTAAAGGCATCCATTACAGGAAGGGGTTGTACTACAGGCAATACAGTAATGGGAGGGGGAGGATCTAGGAATATACACACAATAGGGAGGGGAGGGATT